TGGAATCAACTTAATAGCATACTTAATTTAGCTGAACATATCCAAATTATTATTTTAAAATACTCAGCCTCAGGCTAAAGAGAGGGCTCAGAAGTTGAGAGTGCCGGCCCCCAGAGATCTGGGTTCAATTCCCAGCACCCACAGGTCTAGGATCTGGTGCCCCCTTCTGGCTGCTGTGGGTACTTACTGCATGCATATGGTACCCAGATACACAAGTAGGCAAAACATCCATATACAGAAAAGAATATAAGTTTTAAAAATTAGCTTTGAGGAGCTAATGTGTAGCTATGAACCGAGAGAGAACGTCTCAGGGATGTATACATATGTGGGGTAAAGACTGTGCTAATTAGGTGTTACCTTGGCATTGAAACATTTCCTCCTGGAGGAAGGGAGAGATTCAAGAGAGCACTCCTTCATGTTATATAAATGTGCAAGCTGGATACACAGCTGGGGGAAGGAGGGAACAGGTGTTGATGGTGCAGTTGCCTAAAGTGCCCATGCCTCTGAAGGTTGCACTTCATACATGCTGCCATAATTAGTAAACACACACACACACACACACACACACACACACACACACACACACAAATCTCTGGTTTACTAAGCTTAGCTAGGCTTGCATGCACCTATGTCTTTGTCCTGCCTATCCCCTCTGGGTGGAATAGAAACAGGACTCCCCAGGAAGTCATAGACAGGTAGGTAAACCTAAACCTAAGAAGCCGCACAATAAACATGCCATGACAAGATGAGGAAACGGAGAGGTTTCCGCCCTCTGAATTTCTCTTTTACCTGGAGAATCAAGGTGTCTAATCTGCTGCTTCCAGCTTCTGCAGTCTAGCTGTGAAAAGTAGAAGCGGGGGCATCTCCTCACCTCACACGATCCATTCTGCTCCTCTGCTCCTAATCTCTGGGGCATCTGGCAGAAATTCATGTCAGTGGGCATATCCTTTGTGGTTTCTACTCTTGCTCTGTCTCTGATTTTCTCAGGATCCTGAGGCTATTTGAGCATGTGGAGGATCCACGCAGGGTTGCGGTGCAGAAGTCAGCCTCACCTAGAGGTTTGCAAAGACATTAGAAAACCTGAGAAAGTCAATGACCATATTATCATTCACCCAACATTTATTTGCCTGCCAAGAGTCAAGGGCCCTACCCGAAGGTCATCATGTAGACACTGCAGAGCAAAGCCCAGAAATGTCCAGCTCTTCCTCCCACCTCTGAACTGTGACAACAGGAAGGTTAAGAAAGACAATGTAAAGCAAGAATGAGGTGTTGGTCACTGGTATTGGCAGTTTGATGCAGGATGAGGCTCATCACCTGACAGGTCATGAGTCTGACTGAAAATCAGCCAGTTATCAGCTCATTTTCCACAGTCTTTCAGCTGTATGCCAGAGGTACTACTATACTAGGTGTTTTGAGAGGAGGCAAATGAGGCTGTTATATTCCTTAATATGACCCAAGGTTACCAAACAGAAGAGAAGAGGATCAGTGTTTATCTGACTTACACAAAATGACACAATGCTCAGTTCATGCTTTTCTTTTAGTGTTTCTAAACACTATTCAAACTTATGCAATGATGCACCCCACAGCCCATTCTCTTGTGACTCCACAATTCCTTCCTATATCCAAAAAGTATGCAGGCATGTACAAGGACCAGGACCTCTGTTTTGAAAAGCTACCCTTCCTGGCCGGGTGTTGGTGGTGCAAGCCTTTAATCCCAGCACTCGGGAGGCAGAGGCAGTCGGATCTCTGTGAATTCAAGGCCAGCCTGGTCTCCAGAGCGAGTGCCAGGATAGGCTCCAAAGCTACACAGAGAAACCCTGTCTGGAAAAACAAAAAAGAAAACCTACCCTTCCCTTCTTTTAATTTTGCCCCATTTGATTTTATTTGAGCCAGTGTTACTATGTCGCATAGGCTGATGGGGAACTCACAATCTCCAGGATGGCCTTCAGGTCAGTGACCCTGCTCCATCAGCTTATCACATACAGGTATTACAGGCGTCAACACCCCCCTGGCTGATTATGCAGCATGTCTTCCCTGATGAAGTCACTCAGACCAATGCCTTTCAGTGACCCCTAAGGACTGGACATAGGACTGCTTCCCAGTCACTGACATGTCCCAGGACACCAAAAATATGGCTGCCTTGATAGCCAATAATCCCCCCCACACCCCAAGTGCTATCTCTTTGTTTCCATATAACCCCAAAAACCTCAAATACAGGGGTCCAAATAACAGACCCCAGCATGGAAGCAACACTGATGTTGCATTCTCTCTCTCTCTCTCTCTCTCTCTCTCTCTCTCTCTCTCACACACACACACACACACACACACACACACACACACACACACATACATTATGGTAGAGTCTCATGTAGGCCTGGCTGGCCTTGAACTTATTATATAACAGAGGTTGGTTTTGACAACCGCCTCATCCCCCAGTGCAGGGAATGCATGTGTGCTCCATCAAGCCTGGCTGAGAAGCAGCACTGAAATAAGCTTCTAGAAGCTACTTTTGTCAGCCACCCATCATGGCTGGCTACACAAAACACAGCTCTCACTTCGAAGGGTGTAGAGAGTTTATTCTAGAGCCAAGTGTTACCAAATACCATGTTCCAAGAAATTTTTGTAGTAAGAGAACAAAATGAAGCCATAAATCAAAACCCTTAAAGTACACTGGCGTGAGCTAAAAGATACCTTTATGGCAATGGTTCTCAATATGTGGGTCACAACCCTTCTGGGGGTCACATATCAGATATTTACATTACAGTTCATAACAGTAACGAAATTAGAGTTATGAAGCAGCAATGAAATAATTTTATGGTTGGGGGTGACTACAACATGAGGAACTGCATTAAAGGGTGGGAGCATTAGGAAGGTTGAGAACCACTGCCTTAGAGGGTCAAGGTGCTTACCAACAAGCCACACACACACACACACAGAGAGAGAGAGAGAGAGAGAGAGAGAGAGAGAGAGAGAGAGAGAGAGAGACCCTGTATCAAAAATAAGGCAGAGAGACTGGACATTATCCTCTAGCTTCCATGTTCAGTTGTACACATACATGTAACCACAGCCGAATAAACATGTACACAACATACACACCAAAACAACAACAACAACAAAAACCCAAGGTTAGTGCGCCATCAGGAGGGCAGGTTACACTAAGGCGGGAAAATCTCTATTGCAGGCCTCACATGCTCTACAATGACATTCTTAGCCTGTCAGTTGTTGAGCCTAGTGGGCTGCTCAGGTAAAATACATGGGTGGATATTGACTAAGTACTGAGGGGACAGAAGACAGCTATAATATACAAACTTTCTGTAACCACTCAAGTACTTTTCAGTTCATCAGTCTTGAAGAATCTTTAACGTAGGTGTGGCTTTTAAACAAAACTTCAATTGCAGACCTACAACCCCAGCACTCCAGAGGCAGGGGCATCACAACCACATCTGAGGTGAGACTAGTCTACCTACTGAGTTGGTAGGGTACATAGGAATACCCTGCCCCTAGGAAGAAAGGACAAGAAACAGGGGCTAGAGAGATAGATGGCTCAAGGGTTAAGAGCAATCGCTGCTCTTGCAGATGTGTCAGGTTCAGCACCTACATGTGGTTCACAACCTCCCGTAAGTCTAATTCCAAAGGAATTCTGGCTTCTCTGCGTGCCAGGAACACACTTAGCATACTTAAATACATGCAGTCAAACACTCATATACATAAAATAAGCCTTAACATCTTAGCATACTTAAATACATGCAGTCAAACACTCATATACATAAAATAAGTCTTAACAACACACACACACACACACACACACACACACACAGAGCTGCTTTTACTTAGAAAGCACCATATGTCTTCTTCATTTTGACTCTAACTCTGTCCCAATTTCTAACCTATTTCATTCCCAGCCTGGCTTTCAACTTGTAGTGATCCTCCAGCCTCTCTGCCTTCAAAGTGCTAAGACTACAGGCTTGGCTACTTTAATACATAACTCATGATTTTAAACCTAGACTTCAAATCAGTACACCGGAGATTGACATGAGGTCAGTAGGTCATTTTAAATTTTCTCCTGCCTAATGTAACTAATTTATGGAATCTCATCCTCTGCTTTTGTTTTTTCCTTAATTTTTTTTAAGAGGCCGGATATCTTAGGATTTTTATTGCTGTGAAGAGACACCATGACCATAGCAACTCTTATAAAGGAAAACATTCAATGGAGGTGGCAGCTTACAGTTTCAGAGACTTAGTCCATTATCATAATGCAGGGAGCATAGCAGTGTGCAGGCTGCCACGGTGCTGGTTACATCTTCATCAGGAGGCAACAGGAAGTAGTCTCAGTGTCACACTGAGGGAAGCTTGAGCAAAAAAAGACCTCAAAGCCTGACCCCACAGTGACACTCTTCCTCCAACAAGGCCATACCCACTCCAACAAAGCCACACCTCTTAATAGTGCCACTCCCTTTGGGGCCATTTTCTTTTAAACCACCACATGGGGCTTAGTTGGGAAAAGTAGTTCACTGGGGGTTAGAGAAAAAAGAAAGATTTATTTTTACCATTCAAAAAATTTAAAATTTTATGTGTGTGCTGTCTGTGTCTCTGTGCACCAAAAGCAAGCAATGCCCTGGAGGCCAGAGGGAGAACAGAGGCCCTGGAACTGATCAATGCAGTTCAGAGTGTGGGCGCTGGGAATGCAATGCTGTCGAGCCATCTCTCCAGCTCTCCCTCTCTGCTTTGCATCCTCACCGGTCTCTTCAGTAGGCATACTTGATGAGGCTGGTCCTGGCTTGTTTGAATGCAAAAACCCAGGCTTCTGCCCCAAACTTCTTTGCAGCACCAAATCTGCCTAACTGCCAATCACCTATCTACCATATCCATGGGTCCCAAGCCCAGGTCAAATCTCCAGTCAGGTCTCACATCTGCGGAGGATCCCAACAGCTACGTAAATTGGCAATAGGAACTGAATTAGGATTAGTTTTTTTTTTTTTTAATCGTTTTTCTGTTTTCAGATCCACCTCCATACAGGAAATATGAGCCACGGAAATGACCAGAACACCTGGTCTCTCTGGGGGCAGCACCAAGGCTTATGCCCCAGCTCAGGTGAGTGAGCCCACATCAAATATACCTATCCTGGCTTCCGTGCAGTTCCTTCTGTTGGTAATACTGCTTAGGCTGACAAGAGACGGAGGACACTGTCCCCAGTTTGTGCCAAAACGTAAGTAAATTCATTTTCCCGTTTTCACTTACTCTTTGGAGTTTTCCCCTGTCGCAGGCAGGCCGGTGTTGGGCCAGGAGCCAGGATCCAGTCCTCTC